CATTACAATATTTTGTGACATTATGCTCATTTTTTCACTGTTAAGATTAATTAGTTGTATATTTCAAAAGATTATTGTAATGGCGATTGAGCAATAATTGATAATTAAAAATGTTCAGGTAAAATATAAGAACAAGCTAAAATATAAAATAGATTACCTTACTAATTTAATGAATTGAACATACCAGTAATTTGAAAGGATATGTATAGGTATTTGTGTGGGAAACGAGAGTTATTGACTACTCTGGTGACGTTTCTTATAAAATGGAAAACACATACCATTTACATTGCATGGGCATAATATCACTTAAATTAATAGGGTGACAGTAAATTTGTAACATGGCGATTACTACTGGACAGAATTGATATCTGCAAATTACGAACAGCATTTTTAAAAATATTGAGGAAGAAATATTACAGGCAGTGATTAACTTTATTAAAATGAATGCTTAGTTATAACATTTTATTATGAACACATATTTCAATTGTTATTCTGTACTTACATTTAAAGTTAACAAATGTTTTATCCTCATAAAAGTATGATATCATCGTTAAGAATTTCTGTCATATATTATAATTATGATAACACATAGTGAAGTTGCTGCTTGTTGAAGTAATAGTTGGAGAATTTTACAGTTATTTAGCGAAAATTAGAAATACACAAAATGCAAAGTAGAAATCACGGTTCTTTGAAATCAAAATCACACCATCATCAAAGTGTACCATATATTACAAGAAATCGTTCACGAGATACAAACAAGGCCAACAAGAAAGCAAAATTTAAACAAACAAAAACAAAATATATCAACAAGAAAAACGCGAAGGTGCATAAATATGACTTAAAAAAAACAGAAAACGTCTTTAAAAATGCAAACACGATAATCTGTACCGGTCACATTGGAAAAGCTAAGACACATACATGCGCCTTTGAAAAACACTGTTTGAATATTCAGATGAAACAAAAATCATTGCATAATAAAAAAAAAATCAGAAACTCGCTGAAGACTAAATACACTCATCTGATCACATTTTTCAAAATTTCTTATAAAATGCTTGTAAGAGTATTATCTTTTTAACTCGATGCTTTATAACAGATAGAAATTAATATTGTTTTGTTAAATAATATCTATTTTCTATTATCTATTTTCATCTTACAAGATAAAGATAAGTGTTTCTTTGTTTATTTATGTGTCATTTTGTCCTATTTTCATTTTATCCTTGCAATTATTTTCTCTTTGAACATTATATAAACTTGAGGCAGGCTTTCCAAAGATAACACACTTGAATGTAACCATCATGTTCGTCACACGAGGTGCTAGTTGAATTTCATTCTGTCCTATGTAGAACGATTTACCGATGTGCGATCTCAAATAAAAGACCGATTCTTATACAATTTTACACATAAAATGAGAGTATTTATCACATTGAACCGTTCGACAAATGAGCCGTGACATGACAAGGTCAAATGCATATTCATAGAAACGCGTTCAATAATACTAATGATATGACACCTTTTCCAATCAGCGCTGTGCAGTTTTTAGTAAGAATAATTTGATATATCATTTTTCAGACATTTGAATAGAATAAGCTTTTAAATCTTTATTTACATGTCAATTGCATAAAGATAATACGACCAGTGAACAAAACATTTAAAACATCGATAGATATTTGACAGCGTCCGTAGCATGTTCAAACGAAAAAGTGCATTCAAATATTACTTTATTTGTATTAAAATATATAATTTAATACGGTCAAGTACGCTGGTTCGTTTTTGGCAAAATTTATTTTGGCCTACTCGTTCTTTTTTGACACCCCCAGACATGTTTTTATACCATTTCAGCATATTTGTGTCTGAAGTTCAAACATTTTGAGTTCTACTGTTCAAAATAACTTCTACCATACATCTGGCTATACAGCATATAATGATCAAAAAATGCGATGGACGATTTGATCAAACGGTTTTGTTTTCTGCTTACATTCTGCATCATTTTAATTTCAATTCCACATTGTTGTTATCTTTATCATTATGATATTTTAAGATAATAATCAAAAAGAGAGATACTGTATAAAAGATGTTAATAAACTTAAAAGATCGAACGTACTACCTAACTAATCCAAAATTCTGGAAACAAAGCCCACTAAGCTATCGTTTCAAACATAACTGTTGCTAAACAATTATATGTGAAGAGTATATTGCATTTTGTCAAAAATTTTCGTTGTTATTTGAGACATACACTATCCAATTATTGTAATAGTTTATAAGTGAAATTCTTGATATTTATTTTAAAACCCTAATTACTTGGACTATATCACTCATACTGTTGTTAACCGATTAAAAGCAATTTATTTATTTATTTTTGTGGCCTATTTATTAATTTATGATTCCGTAAATTACCTTATAATTTGTGTATCTTGTTCTGTAAAGTATATTTCTAAACTCTCAGATAAATACTTGAATCACTTAAATAAAAAGAAACATAATGACTGATAATACAATATTTCTTTTAAATTACTATATTGCAACTACGTTATGCCCCGGTCAAATATTCACGGATAATGCCACGGAAGAGCTACGGTCTATTCGTTCACGGGTTACTACGGAAATGTGAAATTCCGTAGTCCGCTACAGTTCCAGTACGGACACACAACAGTATGAATACGGAGTCCGACGGATTTACCACCAAAAGCCCCCGGAGAGACACTGATTGTTAAGGACCGACACGGTTTGATACGGAGCGACACGAATCAGGACGGACGCACCACGGAAACACTACGGTCTGCTACGGTATAAGTACGGGTTAGTACGAATAAGTAAGGTCTGATCCAGGGAAGAACGGATTGATACAATGAAGAACGAATTGCCACGGATCTATACGGACCTAATACATCCGTCCACAACTTCTTGCTTGCTCATTTTCAAAATACCTTACAATAAAAGAACACCTAGAAAACAAATTGCAGAGTTCAATGATTTTGGCGGAAAGGATTCGGCCTAATCGCGCCCGACCCCCGAGACATCAGGTCCGATTAAAGGGAATTTCTTGAAAGACACTGGATCCTCAACAAGTTCGGCCATGAGAACCTCGTACTAAACGTGAAGCGGTCTTCGTAAAAAGCCTATCTCTAGTCCACCATCTCGTCAATCTTCTCTTACCTGATTAGATATGGGCTCGTTATCATTAATGTAAAATGTTGATCAATACTGCTTCTCTTTTAATTTTAAAATTTGCTGTTCGTGTTACAATTACATTCATCTGTTAATTATTGTTAACCTTATCTAAAATGGTAACTATAAAATAAAGTGGTGTTCTAGCCTGGTATATGGGTACCACTATAAAATATGGGATTATGGCTATTGAAACTTGGTCTTCAGTCAGGATCTATCATAAATGGAAAATAATGCCAAACTGCCAAACTAGATGATTTAATATAAAGCTTCTATATGAACTATTACTGGCACAAAGTATCATATACCTTTCTGGTAGCTGGAGATACATCCATATTCAATATAGTAAAGGTGTGGTCTGGTGGCTATCTACGAAGGTATTGACAATTTTAGCAGATTGGGACTGCTATTTATAGTCTCGGACGTTGGGTGGCTAGCTTGGCTAGGGTGCCTAGCTTGGCAGTATCATCATCGTCTCCGATGACGTCACTGCCTACCTCAAGTGGGCAGAAATTTAGCCAGTGCCAGCTGCCATGTTTAAATTGGCAGCATGTGGCTAATTGATCATAATAACGGCTACATCGTAGAAAATAAGTCATTTTAAGTAATATAACCATGGCAAATATTAAAAGAATGAAGTTATCTGTGCATACAGTGTATGTTTTGACGAATTAAAGTCGATGTCATGAAGAAGAGTTAATTACTCAGGTACTTGAGTAGTTTTCGGATAAGGGTTTATTTTTGGACGTAAAATGATGGGCCTTATCGTTACAATATATTGGTATTTTATTTCTCTAGTGCTGAATGTTTTTCTCTGTTTTGAATTAGCCAGTGATCCAGGTTTGTGTTTGTCATGTTTCGTAAAATAACTAGCTGAAACCAGGAATTTAATTTAGTGAAACGATAAATGTAGTGTATTTTAAACTTCACATATATTGTCAAGTGGCCAAGTAAAATGTTAAAAGTATAACTAGCACAGCTTAGTGACACATCGATTATATAATTTGGTTTACTTTCAACTGTTTGGACTAATTACCTAACAATGTGTTTTATCAGATACAATATACTTAGCTCTCCATTTGGAATTATCTTCTTCGTCATAAGGTAATTAAATATATGTTTTAAAAATTAAATATCTATTGAATTTTACAGTACAGAACATCAACTTGGAAAAGGCTTTGACTTTTCTTAGTGAGATGAATATGTGAATTGGAATACGTTGAACTTCTGTAAGTAAAGTGACAAATGATATGCCGTGTTCTTTTGGTAACAGTGTTATTTACAAATCTTTACAGGAAGTTTATATTCAATAATGAGATAGGGTTGATTCGAGCAGGAGCTAGTACTATCGCCGGCATCCCGCCATGTAATTCAATTTTGTTGGCAGTGCATATTCATGCGTATATCTAAGAAAGTAACCAGTCGGCGTATTTGCAAAGTTATCAAACTTATGCAACATTGCATTTGTTAAATCGCTTTATTATCCACGTGTGACTGAATTATGTAATTAAAATATAGACGAAGTAAGTTATTCATTACTAGCACAAGTGTTTATTTGTTGTACTTTGATCGGCGGTGCATTTGAGTGTCTAAAGGAAAACAAATGTCATTATTTCAAAGTATTGGTTTTGAGTATTAAATTATGTGCAAAGGAAGAAATGCATACAAGAATGAACCTTAAATACTGACATTTATTTGTACGCTAGGAGGTATAATTCCTAGGTTCAGGTTCATGTTATTCCATCAATGATACATACCGTATCTATATAATTGCCTATTTCAATGTTTTTCTACAATTGATGTTAATATATTGAATTGGCGTCGTTAAGCTTAGATAGAGCATATTAATGTGTCTGTATTTTTTCAGTGTTTGCTTTCCCAAATGCCAAAGTGACATTGACACCGTCAACACAAAACATTTCCGAGAACACGCCATTGATATTAACATGCTCTTATGTCGGAGATCTTACTGTAGAGACATACACAATGATAATTTCCTCAAGATCAACTTTAGTAGGATCTCTGATGGCAAATTGTTCTGTATTTTCTAAACAACCAGATCCAATAATGTACAGTTACACCTGTCCTACACATGAACAACTATTATGGACCATCAGAAATGTAACACGTGCTCATGATGGTAACACATGGAGATGTCTAGTAGGATTTACTACAATCGGTAGCGAGGAGGCAACCAATACAATCAATGTTCAAGGTAAACAAACATTTATCTACAATAATAATACACTTTTGGGATTATCTCTATCAACAAGTGTCCATTATTTTTCAGCAAAGGACACTTTTATATCAATAGCTCTCCATTACGATATGACAGAAATATGAATGTTTGTGTAAACTTAAGTCACGCAATCTATGACAAGAAATGTAGTTGCAATTTTCATTTAACCAATGCAATTCATTCTATATCCGATTACAATCAGATTTGTCTTAGAAGCTTAAATTGATATAAAAAGTTTTAATGTCGGGAATTTATTTAACAAAAAAACAGCAAATTTTATTGAGTAGTTTTGAGTAGGCAACAAAACAGTATATTTTTTTCTGAAGGATTTACATAACAGGCATTCGATATCACAGATAATTTACAAATATATTAAGTTTTCATAGAAAAAATATTGTTGTCCGAATTATAATCAAAATCCGTCACTTTTTCAAGTGTTTCTAACTTGAGCTTTTTACAACGCTGTCCTTGAACAGTTTCACTAAACTTTCTCTTTTGATTTATTCTTTAATAACTGCTTATAACTTCATTCGATCTATGTCCCGTCACTTCACATAAAAATTGCTCAACTACTTCTGTCACAAACAAGCGACATGCCGCGGAAGCTCTCAAAGAATAATTTGTCCGGAAGCCGGAGAGTCCTTAAAGATACTGTTTCTCCTAATTTGTGGCGACCGATGCATTAATTACTATACCAGACATATCCTTTTGGGTTTTCTAAAGGTTTAAGATAAAATTCTACGTTCTTTAAGTTTATTCTGGACGATGTGTAATGTACTTTTCAAACAAATAAATGATGCATTTTTAAGTTGTTTAACATTTTTAACGACCGACTTCCGTTGAAACTTCCTATATCCGAGCCCTCCCCGATTGTTTTTTGAGTAGTCTTTGGTATACGAAATGTAACGCCCCCACCCTCTTTTAACTGGGAAAATAAAAAAATACATTAAAATACATTTGATTATTTAATGAAATCCAGAGCACGTGATCATGTAAACAATTCAAAGCGCCAGGCCCAAATTGTAACACTAGAAGAAGAGATTGTGTGGTTTAAAGGAGTTTTAGGAATCCAAGAACTAATTTCCTTTACTTACATGATGAACAAATATGAAATTTTACCTTTAAAATAGAAAGCACAACATATCATTTCAGCAGACTTTTTGTATTTATGGGCAGTAATGCATAATTTAAATCATTTACCATTTATTTATGCATTATTTTGGCCTGCACAGTTACGAGATTCGGTGGTGTAGTGGTCATGCCGTCCAGCTTTTAACCCAAGCAGACCGTAGGTTCAAGCCCTACAAGGGCCATGTTTTTTTTTTCTTCAGCTGATAACTTTTACACCCTCACTGAATATTGAAGTGAAAAAGTTTGTTTTCTTATCAATTATCAATACAAATCAACAAATAAAAAGGGGGAAAAGGCAAACAAAAAAGTTGAAAGGGTACACTACATTTTTGTAGGTATTGAAGTTACTCGTGAGCAATAGGTTCATGAAATCTGTTTGTTGTCTTTATGTGTTTTTTCTTGAATACCGCTCTTCAATGCTCATGACAGAAGAAATTGGTTTTTTGTCAGATAGAGAAGGAGCTTCACTAGGAATGGTAGAAGTTGTTTTGCGTTGTAACACTTCATCAGATATATCTGAGAACAGTTTGGTTGATGTAAAGATCCGATAATGCCCTAGCCTCATCACGTAAATCAAAACTTTCATACTGAATTTCAGTGTACTTTGTGTGATAAATATTTTGCCATCGTCGGAATAATCTAAGTCCATGTTAGCTCGTGAAAACCTTGGTCGGGGAATTAAACACTTAATTGCCTCTTTATCGAAACCCTGGTCGGGGGATTAAACACTTCAATAGCCCCTTTCTTAGGTACATGTCATTACTAAAATCGTGTAATGTCGAATGTTTTATGCAATAATCGAGTGAACAAATACCAAGTAAGGTGCATTATGGGAATTCTTTATTAATAATATTTTACCCATTGAATAATTTGATATGTTCGTGTATTTAAAGCGACAGAAAGTCCATTCACGAGCAATAATGAAAACTTGGCCGCTATGGGGCCTCGACTCCATTACTTCTCGGGAATGTACAGGCAATGGCCTTTCTCCCTTTTAGTACGTAATAGCATTCATATTTACATTGACAAAAAAAACTAAAATTTTACTAAATATTAATTATATGTTAAAGAGAATAAGCTAAAATGTAATCGATGATCCAATGCAATTAACTTAAATCCTTAAATTGAGTAATGTATATGAGGAAGTTATTCTAATGAAAGAAAGTAAGTGGTGTTTCCTTTAAGTTTTATTGAAATAACCGATATATTGACATATAGCCGTTACTAACTATTCATGATCATAAATGAACAATGTTGCCAAACATAAACGTACGTATAAACATATATCCACTATACAATAACATAGAAGACGACACATGTGTAAAGTATATACATCAATTAAAACATAAACTAAATTATTTTTGAAAGAAAAATATCTATAAATAGTTTCTTGTTGACATTCTTTTAAGCAAATATAGTCTATATTTGCAAGGACATATGTTACTTTCTAATAGTTTCCATGTATGGAACAACGTTGTATTTTCATCGGCAAGTCCTTAAAAACAATTTAGTGACTGCCATGAACATCCTAATTTGCGATCACTTTTGCGGCCAAATAATAGTAAAAATCCCGTTGACACGTTACAAACTAGTTTCGTCACCAACTGCAATTTTTACTTGGTCAACATCTTGCATCAAAAATGATATCAGTACATAAAATGGAATCGTTTCACAACCAGCCCGGCTATTGAGACATTTGTGCCATCATCATCAAAATTAAAAAGTGAAACAAGACAGGGTTTTAAAGTTGTATAAAATTAAAAACAAACTAAACTATTCAGCTCCTGAATTTTGGACAAAAAGTTTTTGAGAAATCAAAAATATTATTTTGTTGCTATAATAAAATTATAAAAAATTTTAAAATGCAACGCTGAGTTTAAGACCGGGAATATATTCTATAAAAGGTTAAGGGACATTCATTGTAACATTTGAAAAAGTATTCCGCTAATCTTCAATGATTTATGAACATAATACAGTTTTAATTCGTTCCCTTGATATACGAATTTTGGAAAAAATTTGAAAAAATGCTAATGATAGAAATAATTAATTATGTAACGCTTTTTTATTTTAAATAACTATTCGAGTCCAACCAAAATTATAGGGAAAAGCTCTAAAACAATTCCAACTTTTAAAAGCAAAAGTTAACGCTCCAAATCCAAAGCGTATGTTAAGCTTATACTGTGTAAACACAGCCATGGTCATTATAATTGCAAATCTTGTTAACGAGATGATGGCTGTTTGTTGTTCACGAAATGTGTGGCTTTTGTTTGTACTACGACTGTGCCATAACACACAGTATTTTTTAACTAGCTTAGGACAAACACTCGTGCAAATATAATGCCTCCAGAGTTATTCTGTAAGATATTACACAACATGAATAAAATAATTTTATTTTTATAATTAAATTATAAAGAACAAACTAAATTTTGTCCTGTGTTTGTAATAATCATTTTGAATAAATGGTTTCCGGAAGATTTATTTCTCCAGTTTATCTATTTCAGTACCAATACAGACTGTTGAGATGTTTTATCCAACGAACAATGTGGTTACAATACAGCAGAACATAGAAACAGTATTTATTTGCAGAACATCTGTAGGGAAACCAAAAGCTGCAGTGAGATGGTATAAAGATAACAGAACGGCAACAACAAATGATGATATAGAGATAACGACTTTTGCCACAACAACAGACACTACTATTGGTGATCTGATATATGTTACAAGTACACTCCGCTATTCCCCGGCAAAAGAAGACAGTGGTATGAAAATATACTGCATTGCTAGAAATTCTGTTGATAATCTCGTATCTAACAGAAAACCGGAGCTCAATGTACAGTGTAAGTAAATCATTCTATAACTGCAAAATAATGTTTAAATATAGCAACCAAACTTAAAGAAAAAATGCAATTAATAGAGAATGAACGTCTATTTATAAGAGATATAAGTTTATTTTTATACGAAATAAATTATGATTGAATAAATAAATAAAGTACATTGGTTAAACAGCGTTTAAATATTTTGTAAACATACAAACATCATTTGCAAATATTCTTATGATAAGTCCATGTATCTAATTTAACCGTCACAAAAAGAACAGTCAGTCTGAAAGTTTTTACTTAAATAGTCGAAAAAGGAGAAGAAAAATGAAATAGAAAAAGACATAAGATTTAAAATAAGACAAATTCCTAAAATGTGTTCAAACCTACTGACAGTGAACATATTGAATTTCATTCCATGAAAAAAGCGCATGGTAGCGAAGTAAAGATAATATTTCTGTTTCTTCAAGTATTGCTGTACATTTTAATTTAAACATTCCAAAGTTTTCTCAGTAACTTTTCTACCTTTTTTCTGTTTTATTTATAGATTCACCAGATGGTCCTCCTGTAATTCAAGGTTTCAATAACACTGAAACATGTTACGTTATAGAAAACAATCAAAGTTTACTTTCTTGCTCAAGCAGGGGAGGAAATCCACTAGCAACATTGTCTTGGGACTGTTTTAATTCTGGATCAACGTCGACTTCTTCTGTGGAATCAAATGTTACAAAAACTGTCACATTTTCAGCCTTACGTGGCCAAGATAGATCTTGTACATGCAAATCTTCTCATCCAGTTGATAAAACACAATCAGTAACTGTTAATATTGAAGTGTTATGTAAGTTTACTTTTATTTTTATGAAATATTATTTCACCGCTCTGAAATTTGCTAGATATTGTAACTGACATTTGTTATAGGATTCATAGCTTCATATAGCAAAAGCTAATTTTATTTAGTTTTCACCGTACATGATGCTTTATCAATCAATAATACATCATAATTATTAAAAACAAAAGTAATATGACAACAAATATGAAAGTGGGCGGAAACTAACTTCACATTTGATTTCAGGGACAACGTTTTAGATTTTTTCTCTGTCAGTCTATAGTTTCACTGCTTATTTCATCGTCACCACAAATAACAATAATTTTGTTGTTAATGCTTTTGTCATCGCAGCTGAATCAAGTCATGCATCTATAGATAATCAGTTTATTACTTTGCGCTGTCCAACTGTTGTGTCCCAAGTTTATTTGTTGTTGTTGACAGTAAAATAAAATATAAAAAAAGATTACTCTACAGAAAAAAACAATATATTTTCACTCACTGTTTAGACACGTGAAAATATCTGTATATCCTCATAGTATATATAACGTAAAATGTTTTCGGATGTTACATACATAAAATGAAGCGAAGCGATAACTCGGTAGTTTTTTATTATATGTTTGATTGAAACAGACCAATTTATAAATTAACAAAGAATCTTGTCGGAACACTTGTTTGTTTTATCTCAGAAAATATCCAGTCACTTCCTAACTTTATTTCGCAATTTTCACTATGGCAATGCAATTTTACACATATAAACTTTTTTTACACGTAAATATAATGTCCTTTGTGCTTAAATCATGGTTATTGACCGAGAGCTGTCTATTATATTTTTTACATTTATTTTATTTTTAGACTTTGAACAAACATGCTTAACTTTAAGGTTAGTTTTACCCTTTCGTTCACGAACGACGCACGGTTAACATTAAGTTACAGTAATAGTTAAGGAGAAAACAGTCTATATGTATATTTGTAGATACAGTCCTAAATAACATGGTATTTCCAGACCCACCAGAATGTTCTAATTTTAAAGTAAATGGTACGATTGTTTTGTCCCCGGGAGAAAATCAGTTGTTTTTGACAGTACTGGAATCCCTAACCCAAATTTCTACTCGTGGAGCAAAGCAATATACAAGTACTTTACAAAATACAATGATTCCATCAGATGGATCACAACAAACAGGATCAACAAATACATCAACAATGAAACATAGTGTTTTGACACATTTTTTATTTACTCTTAATGGGTCTACATTGTTGTCTATCATATGCAAAGTTTCAAGAAATTTAATTATGTAATTTACGTTCTGCTGCAAGTCTTTATACATTAAATAAATGCTAACTAAATAAGTTTTGCAATTGTACTTGATTGAATAAATCATAAAATCGTACCCACGACCTCGCTCAAGAGGGTAAAATTGAAAATACTGAAATTTTGAATGAGCATTTCTTCTTATTTTGTATGCTATACATGTTTTAGACAAGCGTAAGGAATTCTAGTTTTAAATGGTCATACAAATGCAACTCAATGGTAATGGTTTTTCCTGCCTAACATCTTTAGTTAATCCATTTATGAATAATCTTTTGATGCTTCGTTTAGCTCATTAAGGCTCAAAATGACAATAATGTATTTTTCAAATGTATTGTAACATTCTCAAGACATTATTGAGTGTCTGCATTTGAAACATGTTCTTAACTAAAAACTATAATGTTTAAAATTGTTCATATAATAACTAAAATTTGACATATCCTTTTACATATTGTTACGAGCCAGGCGTAACGAGAAAGAAAAGCCAGCAACAAACTTGTAACAATAACAAATTTATTACAGAAAAATTATTAAAAAAGAATAAAATAACAAATTATGTTTACAAATACCTGAAGTCCAAATAAAAATGAAAATTACAAATGTCTAGTCTGATCCTGGAATGATCCTTTTGAATAGCACAGTTAAATCCAAGTTAAATCCAAGAACACTTTAGAATAAAGTCCTACAATAAAATCCACAAGAATAATTTATTTTAAAATCCAAGCTCCAATAATTCACTTAATATCCAAGTTGAATAATACTCCAAATATATTGATTTCTTAAAAGGTAACTGATGACTTAATAGATCACTGATGACTTAAAAAAGGTAAAAGTAATGAAAAATGTCTCCTTATATATATTAACTAAGAAGTTTCTAGAATAGTCTTCCATTTACTACAGTAATCATAATCTAGCAACTTCACCAATAAAGATCATTCCAGAAATTTCTATCTAAATATAATGCATGAGTTTTCTACAACAGTTAAGAACGTTCTAGTACATACATGTAGTTTATGTTCTAAAAATAGAACAATGATAATATTGGAAATACCAACTGGTCAGATACAAACTATATACATGTAATATGTTGCATACATAACACTTCCCCTCTTCAAGAAAAAGAAATATGAATGAAATGAATATTTCTTTTACATAAATCCAAACAATGTAACTTACAAATAACATAGGAGAAATGTTAAACAATTTTATACATTCATTCATATATATGTGTATTACAAACAATAGTAAACAACAACAAAAAAAATCAATCATATCATATACATGTTTAATTTAAAATACTGCAAATAACAGTTGCCATTGGTTCTTGTTGCTGGGTCATATGGGGGTTGCGTTCATTGAACGCCGCCTTTCCTTGTTGATCTTGTTTTTCATATTTTAGACACGTGAAAGTGCATCAGGGATCAAATTATCTTTCCCTTTAATGTGTCTAATGTCAAGACTATATTCTTGCAAAAATA